GCGGTTGGCACCCCTTCGTCCCTCCATGAAAACATTTCCCTCTATACTTAACTCCGACCTCCTATTTGCTGACGGCGCATAAGCAATGAGACTGCTACGCGACAGCGAGTGCTTAAGCAACGATCGACGCATGGACGGGCGAACATGTAAGATTAATAGATGAAACTGAAATCCTTGCAGCTTAAATTGAATGCCCTGTGGCTTAAAGTGTCTTTGAATTGGTGTACTTTGACGGTGAGTCCCTGGTCGATGTAGCGATTAGTATTTATTTTGGATAAAAAGTATTTTGCCCTGACATAGAACTTATTCCGTCTTATCTCTCCATTAAATTACATCGAAATGTCAATCAATTATTCTCTGTTGCATTGCTTCTTTTTCGGATTTGTTGATAATCAATTCAGCTTAGTCCTTGTTAGATTTAGTCATTGCGGTTTCCAACATTTTCTCTTTTATCCTGACATATATAGCTTGACGGGGCTTTGCTGCAGATCTAGCCTTTTTGTATTTACATATCTGTACATCTTTGATTTCTATAAAAACTTATCTCCAATGGCTCGGAGATAAAATACCCCGAAGGCACAATAACATGGTAAGCACTACAGATGCATCTGATATTTTGGTTTTATTTTCTGAATATTTTGTGAACTGTTTTAAGGAAGTGACGAGTTCCGAGTAGTTTTTACCGCCACGTTTATAGCGCCTGCATGGCTGCTCCATCTACCTCTTACAGCTAAGGGTACTTAGACCGAAGACTTGCGTCAAGACATCTTTGCAATATTTGGATTAAAAAGAGATGAATATCCGGTCCATAATACCAACAATTCTACAGGTCAGGTTAAGTCAAAGCTAAGTTAAAATAAGCGTTACGTAGCCAATATCGACAACGGGTGAGCTAACATTACATTATCAGTGCTAAATTAGTAAGAATGGATTAAAAAGCACTGTGTAGTAGTGGCAGTTGTATAAAGGATCAGCGTAAAAAAGTAACAATTATACTGTTCCAGATAGAATAGTTTAAAGCTAGAGTTGACAGCTAGGTTTTCAATCTGGACAGCCTATTTTCATGTGCACAGTATTTTGAATATTTCTAAAAGAATAGGCGAAGTAAAGCAGCGCTGACTTTGGAAATAGCTTTACTAATATCAATGCTGAAATATTCTGAGACAACTAATCGATCCTTAGTGATATTGTAAAAACGATGTTCAGTGACTAAGGCACGGCCGATTTAAAGGTTCCGCCAGCACAGCCGAACTGTCACAGAAGCGGCATGAACACAAGGCGGAATTAGGAAATGGTTTGTGCATGGCAAAAATATAGCTTTGGGTTGATTCGCAGTTGTCTTTACGCCCCAGATTGGTAGTCCGCCATGTCATTAGCATTGTCAAATGTCTGGACATGGGAGTCATCTATCTGAGTTCCATCCTTCTGCAGTTCTCACAAAACCAGCCCAGAAATTTTCTCTGCTCTTTTGCTGTTGTTCTCCAAGAAGCTGAGAATCAACTCTTCTGCCGTCAATTTACTTTCATCTAATGTTTTTGACATACATTGGTAGTGCTATAAAAATAGTCAAGCACACTTGCTTTCCTTGCGCTGATCTACGATTTTCTTTCTCAGCTGCTTTACCAAAATGCTCACTAATTCCTTTCGAACGTGTAGAAACAAAGAAAATGTGCCACTTTTCCTTCCCGACTGAACTGTAAACAAAGGTTTGCAAAGAACAGTAATATAATAGGCCAACAAATGTACAAATTCTGCAAAATTCCCTCCATTTTCCTGGCCTTCTTTGTCAGCTTGGATGTCTTTTCGGTGAACACACACTATCATGTGTTGCTTGACGAAAAACTTGACTATATCGATCATTATACCTTGAATTTCACACCATCACTTTTCTACACTTGCTAGCTAAAATTTTCATCCATTTTCATTCCTTCAACCGGCCGGAGCACCAGAATCTGGAGGTTCAAGAATGACTGAGGACGCAGTATGCTAGATTCCTGGTCACATGCTCTTGGGCTTAGTTTCCACCAGTTTGTGAAACCCTCCTCAGTCGAAAAGATATACTATCCCTTTAAAAACATCCAGCAGTGGAAACAAAACAGGACCTCATTTGAAGGAGAATATGCCATCTACGTTCACAATCTTTGCTTACCGTTTCGCAAATCCCTAAAAAACAAATCGTTGTTAGCTTCCTATCCCCAGCTTTGATATTCCTTCCAGCTAGACACACATTGAATGCATGATGGACGTGCCGCAAAACAGTAGATCCGAGCAGGACTAGCTTAGAGAGATTTTCATGGCCAATCTTAACCAGCCACTGAATAACATCCATAACAATCAGTTAATGTGCGTGTTATCGTGCTAAGGGTAATTGCATTTTCAACTCTTTAACTTCGCACGCATCTTCTGCATCAGCACTACAAACACTTCCCGCTGCATCCATGCTGTCAATGTCGGTTTCTGTTGCCCGGATATCAAAGTGTGCAGTAGCAATTTCATCTTCGATCTTAGTATGATTATCACCCTTCCGTTTTACTGGTTCAGTCATGAAAGTAAATTTGACGAATTAGACTGTGTAATGAGCAATCAGCTGTACTAAAAATGTCGCCCCTGTCACATGCCGCCCAGGTGGGTCGCCCCTCCCATGCTACGCCTCTGCCATAAGTACATCGTTGGTGAGCACATTAACATCATCATTTATACACACGTTAGCTAGAGGTGGAAACCACCTAAGATATTGTGCCGCGACACATAAGAGAAGAAAAACGTGCAATTGAGGCTTGCCAGTTGAACTACCGGTAACGGATCGGCATCGTTCCGGAGAGCCTCCATCCGGCTATTGTGCCACAAAAATAGTTACATTAGTCCTGGGAAATGAGATTGTGGTTGGAGGGAAGGTTAAGCGGCAGGCTGAGGGAAAATGAAACTTACAACACATTCATTACTGAGATTGGCTCCTAGCCATGTTAACAAGGCTATCCAGCCCAACGTGTTCATCTTCTTTCAGAACCCAACGGGGGCGCCGAGAGACACCAGTCGAGGAAAACTTCGAAAGGAGGGACATCATACTTCTTTGCAAAGTCATTGCTTGGCCATCCCCTATCTACGCTACTTGATGCAAGAAGAGCAGTACCGTTAATTATCCTCTGCGACGGCCGCAACATCAAGGAAGTTACCTTAGTTGAAGGCATTGTATTGCTTTAACAGGTTGCCCAGGCATAGACAGGAGAACTGTTGGGTTTCTCAACCAAAACCTTTTGTTCAAAAACCAGACCATAAGGTAGTGGACTGCAAGCAGTCCATTTTAAGGAATAATGAGACACCTTTATCCCAACCCCTAACCTGGAGGATCAGCGACTGAGTTTGCCTGGCTTCCAACCATTGACCTATCTGGTCTGAGTGATTCAAGATTTGCAAAGCACACCCAATATAGTTCACTGGATCACTGAGGTACGCACAACTCCACACCACGATAAGGTCAAGATTCATTGCTTTGGGATCAAGTATCGACCGCATGTTAGTAGTTTGAAATCTGGAGGGAGAGGTAACAGTTTTGTACATATGGTAGCTGGAAATCAGCTCTTGCAACCAGGATTTAAACTGCGTACCATCGGTTGTGGCTATTTCCAGGTCGTGCACGTTAAAGTCGTCTGCGATGAAAATGAGTCTGTACGATTTGTTCAATGCAAAGCTGAATAACCTGGATTCCAGTCGACACGTGGATTTTGGTGAACTATAAATTAGGACTAAAGATACCTGTGTTTGTTCATCGACCATATCGAATCTGGGGTGCGGATTTCAAAGTGATCAATAGTTTCACATCCAGGGTTGGCTTGGTAATACAGACTTGCGCCACCACCCCTCCATTTCTATCTTTTCAAAGCAGCAACATGCCAGGCAAATTGACCTCAGAACCAGCTATCTCAAGGCTTTCTCAAGGCTTCGTAATCATAATGTAATTCCGGGGTTGTGAGGCCTGGCGTTTTCTAATTTTGACGAATTTGCTAAGAACGCCTAGGGTGTTATTAAACAAACAGGATAGCGTTTTGGATGTTAGGAGTGTTTGGATGGAAGAGAAATTTGTGTTTAGTTTTAAACTGACTTTTTAACGGTCGGCCGCTAAGCGTTTTTACGTGCGTGGCACAGAACGTTCCATTTGGCGATGTGAGCTCTTTTGTTGGATATCGATACTGCGGATCCGTCACCAACACACTCAGTCAATCATATAGCCACTGAGTATCCAAACAAAGCACTAAACGGTGGTTTTATTAATGTGGGGATTGCTAGCTCTGCTCATGCTATTTGTCTGCTGTGGAGCTGCAACCGGCAACTTAAATGTACGCCTCCGTCGCCAAGTGGAGTTACATACGGATAGGTTTTCAGGCAATCTGAGCGTTCATGTCAGTTGTAACAAGTACGATATCCATTCGGATAATGATTGGTCGCCGGTATAATTCTGGTTGATTCTTGGCAGCATTCTTTGGTCGTACATAATGAAATAGCAGAAGACGTAGCTTAGTTTACTGAATCTTACAAAGGTGTATGATAGAACAACACACATGAAAGCATTCACCGGGATCCAGTTGGGCATAATGATTTCAGTGTACTGGTTGGATGCAATATCACCACCATAAATACCCGGGCGTTGGCTTGATGTCACTAGAGGCACGAAGTACCCGTTCAGCGCCACTAGGATTTGAGCTAAGTTTGATGCCGGCGCCACATTTTCGTGCACCTATTTTGAGGACGCAGCACACATTTAGTAAAGAATAGTGCAATGCGAGTACTGGTGACGATGGTGACCGACCTGGTATAATGTGTAGTAGTTTGACACACCAGTTCACTCACTCATAAATGGCGTAATAGTGCTGCTCTGTGATTTATTAGAGCGGAGCCACTAGTAGAAAGAAGCTAAAGCACTGTCTCGAGCAGAGTTGATAATTGCTGCGAGGAATGTTTTTCTCGGTTTCGCTCCTATCCGACCGTAACAAGTAGTTTAAATTATGGAGTATCCATTTCCCAATCATCTTTTAGCAATCATTGGTGCTGGTATGGGCGGTGCAACAGCTGCGTACTATCTGCGTCAGCTATTTGGCTCGGAAGTGGGTATCACCGTGTTTGAACAATCCGGACGGATCGGAGGTCGGATAAAATCTGCCAATTTCGCTGGTCAGCTAATCGAGACGGGAGCCAGTATCTATCACACCAGCAACCTTTATATGGTGAACTTCGCGAAGAAGTTTGGTAAGTTTTGGCTATCATTTCCCTATAGTTTTGTATTGACCTGGTTTGCTAGCTACGGAGGTATTTGAATTATTATTCCACAAAAGTGCCAATCTATGTTTCGTTCTCCACCTCCATCTGTTCAATTAAATAATCTACCCTTAACAGACCAAGCATGCTAATCGCAAAAATACTAATAATACTCATTTTGTATGCAGTTGTCGTTGCCGCTATCTGGGGTTCTCTCTGGCAGATCAACTCATGATTTTGGTTCGTTAACTAATTAATGTTGTGCAGGCACTAAGGAAGACCGATAGATTTCATACTTTTCGAAAACCCGGGGGAATGTTTTGAACTTATAGAGAACTAGAGAAAGTAAAATGCTAGCTCAATTATTGATATCACACTCATAGAGTTGAGCATTAAAGACAGTTTGTTGGGGCAGGTAGATAAAGCATGGGTACAATGCTGTCAAAACCTTGTCGAAAACGTTGAACACAACTAGTTATCTACACGTCCTTCGTAGTCCAAATTTTGCTTGTGAATTCAGTGCTGTACAACTCACATTAATAAAGGAATCGCATATATATAACCTTGTTGAACCGCGTATTCACAGTTTGTGCATCCGGAAACAGATTGAACTGCGACACTGATGTCGCCTTCTCTGTGTATTCTTGCTGACTGCCCGAAAAACATTTAGCACGCATCCTGAAGACAAGAACATGGGCGATGTTCTTCAGAGCCGGCGTTATAACGTTGTACAGACATCAAGTTGTGCTGCATGGTACGCGCAAGTGAAACCACGGCTGACGCATGGAAAAGCGACCGAGATGTAAGACAAAGCTGGTTATGATGAGGTCGAGTACAAGTTGACGTTGCTCCCCTTAAACAGTGGATGCGCCTGGCGTGTACATCTTTGACCCTTTCGATCTTTTGCGTCGCATCCCCAAGGTCGAGTAGTGAGAGAATGTGATGGATTTTGTGGCAACCCGTTTAGGCTGGCTGCGTGAACTACGTTTGGACTCCTAAAGCACATGTCAAAACCTGTTCGCGCTATCCGCGAACTGTGTATGAGTGTATCTAAGTCCTTCACAGAAGGTATGTGCAGGTAGTCAGTTTGAATCTCACCGCTCTTTCAATGCACATGAATACCGATTTACACGGCCAATTGGAAGATAGCATGTGAAGCTCACACACGGGAGTGATCGTAGTCTTGTTGAAGTATTCCACAGACACAAGAAATACCAATCACGCTCCACCATTTCACTTCACTTCTAAATAAGCTACGTGGTGGTCATAGAAGCTCAGACAAATCGCTCGTATAGACCAAGGACAAATTGGGCCTCTGCAATATGTCTTGGGATAGGTCATAGGTGCAAGGATACCAGTGGGTTAAATAACCATCAATTTGTACATTCACATTCGTCTGACGACAGAATTGTTGATCTGTTCGTACAGTGAATCGCTGACATCACATGTAGTTAGCGTATAAAGGAGGACTTACTAGTTCCCCTCGTTCAACGCTTCGGCAAATCGGTGTGGATAGCATCGATAGATCCCCCTAGTTCGTTGTCTGCAATCATCCAAACCTAGTTACGAGCAAGTTCTTGATCTACGAGCGGTCTCCCACGAAACTTGGAGGTAGGTCCTTCTCAAATCACTCGATTGGCGTATGTGCAGAGTCCCTTTATCTCACTTTCCGGCTGTGAATGGTTCCCATGTTGCTCTCTCTTATCAAGGCACTCTCCGAAGCCTTTCGTCCTTGTTGGTAGTCATCAGGTAAAGTTAGTCTGATCTGGGAGTAGAACTCGGTACATGGTGTGTTGCGGCTAGCGCCATGATCAGTTGGTCATTGAGATCTGCGAGCACAGCTTGACACAGCGGTTAGCACCTGTTTATTGGGTTTAAAGCACCTTTCGTGTGTACTGGATGGCGTGTTGCAATCCACCATACACAGCGGACGCAAACAAACTGATAATCTTTTCTGCTGCCTTAGCCAAAATAGGCGTCAAATAAATCAGTTGTTAGGATTACCGCCTTTCAAAATCTGTTTAACAATCAGGAATGTTTAGTCACTTGAGAAAGGAACCTACGGACCGCTTCTTGTCGAACAAGTCAATTTCTGAACTTGCGATGCTAACTCCCACCATGACTGGCAGGTTGGATGCCTTTCATGTTGGCGAGTAGCTGACTTGCCACTTTGAGACAGTAATTCATGGAGTAAAGTTCAGTGGGGATGGTACACATTGATCATGGTAAAAACCCTGCTCATTTGCTATTATGAAAACAAAGTGCTTTACCGACAAGAACGCATGCTCAGCACTCTAGGTTATGGGTATCCGTCCCATTCTTCTAACACTGCTAAGTAACCTGCGGACAGCAGGTGCCGAGTCACGTTAGCAAATACAGTCGCGGTAGTGTGCTTCGTTGCGGTTTCGAGCTGCTCTTCGAAGTGTCGGCACCCTTTTGTTTTCATTCTGTCGTAGACATCTTACTGTTTCTCATAATTTTTGTAGTCAGCAAAATTGGGGAATAATTGTTCCCATAACCCACATCACCGCCCGGATAGTTTACTTCATTCCCTATCAAACCAATATGGCATCACTTGTCCAACTTTTGTGATGTGTGGAGAACGAAGCGAGCGCATAAGGAATGTACTTCTCCATTTATACTTTCCTATATGCTTCGACAGATGCAGTCGCCTTTGTTTACAGTCCCAGTCCGGCCGTCGAAGTCAGTTTTACATTAGCCGCAGGCTGGCTCCATTTAACGAGTGGAAGTTGATCCATATCCGTTATGAGCATTGAGTTGACAATTTCTGTCAAGGGGTCCACCTTCCGAATATCCCATACACGCTGTTCATAGTCAGCCATAAGCATGTCCTGACACGAAGGAAGTCTTTTTATGCTCCTCACCTGACCTGTGCCTCCACAGTCTCAGACATAGTTTCCACAGACTTTACCACTACCTCATAATATACGGCGAGAAGTCAATCTCTGGGTCAGAATACTTTGGGAACATGAAATCACCCCTGAGTAGAGACCAGATGCGACTCATGTGACCCGGATATGCAACAACCAGTTCAAACATCGGATTACAGAAGCGCAATAGACCGCACTAATGCACATTGCTGCGTGTGAGGTGGCCCGGAGAACATGGCTGATTGCATAGGGCATTGTCGCATCGACAGACGCTCAAAAGTCCTCCACCCCAAAAGAATAGTAAATGCGCAAAGGTCATTTGATAATCTATGACAGTGAAATGGTCAGCAAGCACTGAGTTCACATACGCAGGGTTTATTTAAGAACTCAAATATGTCTTTGCGGTTCATAGTATGCCCTGCGGCCCAGAAACAACGAATCAACACGACTGTTCATGATACTGCGGTTGTCGGTAGAAATTGCATTTGAGAAACTGTGCGTACAACAGGGATGTCCAGAAACGTGAGCGGCCTGAAGATTCATGGTCAAGGAATCCCGGAAACTGCCAAACAATTTTCAGTACAGTGAGTTACTTACCAATCACTAATACGCCTCTTCTTTTCAGTAGTAGCAAAATTGGGCCCTTCCTTCTATATAAGAATATATATATATAGAGAGAGAGAGATGAACATGTGTCTTAAAACCTATCAGTATACTCAAATGATATATTGTCATCTCTAGCTTACATTACTCGCAAGCGTGGCTGATTTAGGCAGACAGTTTGATCACCTTTCTTCCCGGAACCTCACCCTCAAATGAATATCTACGTCGCGATTATAACGGTGTCCCTGGGATTTGGAGCACTGCTTTAAGGTGTATGCTAGCTAGTGGAATTCACACGCCTCTGGAAAGTCGAAGTTGGCCTTACAGACCTTACTTAGCTGTTTGCCTGTAAGGAGCAATATCTTCTGCTTAGCTGCTTCTTCTTGGTCTGTTAAACTCTAAAAAGCGGGATTTCATAAAGTAGGACGTTATGCCAGTTATACGCAACGTAGGCTAACGATTTGTATAAAATGAAGTTGGAGTTAAACAAAAGATGAGACATCCAGTTAGTAGTTTGACGGGGATGAGGAAAAATACTGGTCTGCAGTGAACCGTTTCGTCAAACATTCAAGTCCCGAGGGAAAAATAGAAATTCAGGCAAACGTAGTTAAAGAGCCACTAGACGCCTCTGAGTTATAGGCTATCCTTCAGTTGCCGTCTCTCAGAGGTCGACTGGTGTTTCCAGCCTATATATCTGATTGCTAGAAAGACGTGGTAACAGCGCAAGCACGGGCAGCACCAAAACAAATCTGCACAAGTTGAACGTGTTAGAAGTTGTGTATTCAAAATTCGTTAATTTTATTCCAATGGTATAAGGTGGTCGGTACTGGAAGTGATGATAAGAAAGATATACAATGGAGTGATTACAACCGCTATATATAGCAGCTGCAAACCGGCATCAGCCGTGAATTCTGTAGCGTCTGTCTTACATATGAGAATGACCTAGTCGTCCGTTTTCAACTAAGCAAGGAATCGGCTTGGCTGGGACTTTGTTGCATCAGGTTAAACGCTGCTCTAGCTTCTGAAAAGAACGTGGATTCTGTGAGCTTTTTCTTGAGCGAATCAGTTAAAAGCTGAAGAGTTTCGGCGCAGCTACTTATAAACCACCCGTAGTAGTTAACCTTGCTGAGAAAACGGCGTAGTGGCTTAACAGACCAATACGATGGATAATCCAACATGTCTTGTGTTTTCTCAGTAACAGTACTGGAAACGTTACTATCGATCCTGTGGCATAAAAGTTGATGGAGGATTGGCCCCATACACATTTGTCAGATTTAATGGTGACCTCATGATGTCCGAAACACTCGGATACTTATAGTAGGTGCTTTAAGTGTTCCTGGGTTGATACGTTAGTAACTAACACATCATCAATGCAAACAAAGACAAAGTCAAGACCACAAAGAACTTGGTCCGTGAGACGTTAGAATGATTGCGCGACGTTCCCGAGACCGAATAACATAGGGAGAAACAGGTACAAAACAAGGATTGGATACTGCCGTTTTTGCAATATCTTTCGGGGTCATAAGAATTTTGTGGATTGGCCTTAACAAGATCAATTTTGGGAAAGATCGACTTTCCAAACAATCCAAAAAATTTATGAATATGTGAGATCGGATATTTGTCAGAAACGGTGGTGTTGTTTAGTGCCCATCCCTGGTCTTCGAGGCACAAGAGGTAGAGGAAATGTCCAACAGCTGTTTGAAGAATGAGTGATTGCAAGCTTGAGCATGTGCTCGATCTTTTTCTTGGCTGCCTATAGTTTTACAGGTGTAAGTCGTCATGATTTCGCCGTCATGGGTGGACCATCTTCAACGATGTGATATTGTACATTGCTGCTTGGATTATGTCGTATCGTTATCCACATGGACGATGGATGGGAAATGCTGCAACGATGCAGAATATGGCTAACGTCTGCGAATAAGTGCTCGGAAATTTGATGAAATTGGTTGTATTAAGCGTGCCGGGAGCATTAAACGAACTGGTACCGTCTCGTAACTTCCCAAAACGATGGTTTACTACAAAGCCAAATTTACCGAGAAACTTGATACGATGATAAGCTTTTGTAAGTCGGGGACCGTAAAAATAAAAATAAAACTGCGACCTGGTCACAGGCTAAGCATGAGGGGTTTCTGACGGCCTGTATCTTCATTCCAATCGCTTGTAACGAGCTCTTTTCCAAGGAACGGTGTGTAATCAAAAGTAGAGTTTGATCGTTGGATCAGAGAGATACAGGAGGCAGCAGCCACCGCCATGAATAGCTGGCTCCGTAGTTGTCAAATTTACAGTTAAGGAAAGAATTTGGGTGAACACATCTTGAGTGACACTTCTGTGCAGTATTGGAAATTGCAAGAAGGGCACAAAGCTAGCCTACTGGAGTTACTGCGAGACCTGCACCTGGAAGAGAGTCTTCGGATTCACATTCGCTCAAGTCTATGACGAGAATTACTGAGCTCCAAATTTGAGAATAATTATTGAAGCTTAGTGCCATCATCATCAGTACAAATAAGCTGAGGGTAGGAAAAACACCGCAATACAACACCACAATCCAAAAAGTTAAGATACTAAAAATTGCACTACAAGGAATTCAAAAAACAAGTAATTTGCTGTTAAATATTTTAGTATACATATCGCAAGAGAGCGTAAGTAGGGAGAATCTAAAGGGGAGGGGTGGACAAAGAAACACACAACGCAAACAGACACAGCAAGTGTGTTCAACCAAACGTCTCCATCATTCTTGGGACCTCAGCCAGGCAGTCGGGATGCACCAACCTACGCCAACTTCCAAGTGAGGGTTTCCATTTCTTTCGACCAAGTCATCGGTTGGACTTCCCTTCTTCTTTTCCAAACACACTGCTGCAGCTCAAACAATGCCCGTCGCGGGAGTCGGTGGGCTCGCATGCACAACACGTGGCCCAGCCATCGCAGCCCGGTGGATGAAATAATGGCGCTGAGCGGTTCACTCGCCCTTCCAGCACCAAATATGCGACATCGATCACATTCTTTGCTCAAGCGGTGCTCCCACTTGACCTGAGCTACGATGCGAAAGCAACTATGGTCGAAAGTATCTAGCCTCTTAATGTCTGTCGACCTGATGGCTAGGTTTCACGGCCGTATTAGAGCATTGAACGAACGGCTGCATTTTAAACTCTGCCCCTCACGGCTAGCGTGGTGTCACTTCGGCGCCGTAGGTGTCGGAGATTGGCGAGATCAGTTCGAACTTTTAGGTATACGGTTCTTAACCTCCTCCTCGATCCCACGGGCGCTAATATAGTTGCCCGGGTAGTTGCATTCCTAAACGACTTCTTGCTGATCACCACCAAGGGTCAGCTCAGCAGTGGGTCCGTGCAAATCTTGGAGAATGACTTTGCATTTTAACGGGGACAGACAGCCCAAAACGATTGACAGCCAGTGCCAGTCGGTTCAGTGTTGCCTGGCACGTTTGGGAGCTGTCACACATGAGAGTAATGTCGTCCGCATACTCCAAGTCAAGAAGTCGCTCAGCAGGAAGTAGCTCTACAGTTTGTAAGTCGCATCCAGAGAACGCTGCTTCCATCACTTCTCCAATGGCGAAGTTAAAGAAGATTGGTGATATCGTCAACCTAGTCTCACACCAGTGGAGGTATTGAAGGGCAGCGACGGTTTGGTACAAACCTCCATTCTGCCCAAACTATGCACGTACAGTGCTCTGATAATGTTTACGTATTTATCGGGCACACCTTTGCTTAGCAGACAGTCCCAAGGTGCACACTGATCCACCGAATCGAAGGCACCTTTGATGACCAGAAACTCGACAACAGTGGGCTACTAATAAATATGGCTATGCTCCAACAATTGGCACAAAAAGAAGATGTGGCGATGACATGGACGAAGTCCGGCTTGCTGCACACAAATGTGGCTTTCACGAGTTTCAGTCAGTCTGTGGAGCACAACAGACGCAAACCCGTTAGGGGCAGTTGAGATGGGACTGATCCATCTATGATTGTCGTATTCCGAGAGGGAGCCGCGCCTGAAAATTGGGACTATGACGCAACGGCTACAGTCTGTCGGGACAGTCTCCTGCTCCCAAAGTTTCCCTAGTAACTCCTGTAGATAACCTCAAGAGCAGTTCACCAGCATTTGAAGAGAGTTAGGAAAATTCTATCTGCCCCCGCGGCGTTATGCAGTTTCATCAGTCGGATATCACCTACAATCTCTGCGCGTGAGGTCAAATCCAGGGCGACGGCCCAGGGGGAAGGGCACTCATTGCCCGGACAAGAAAGTGCATATTTAGATTGGTTAAACCGCTTTGCAATTTGTACGACACAACGCTCCAAGCGTTTTGATAAGCTGTAGAAAGGTTTTCCAATCTCGTCGCGCATGGTCGCACTAACACCAGGTCTCCTGCTGTCTGTTTCCCGTAGCAGACGGAATAATTTACCATGGTTAAAAACGATAGCAGTTGTTCCCATTTCTGATGCACGATGAGGCCACCAGGCTTCGCGGTCTCTCTTCAGGCTATCATGTAGTTTTGCCCTGAGAAGTTTGCAAGTCTCATTGTATTCGCTTCCAGCCGGAATATGTCGGTGAGCATCCATAAGTTTCAGAGGGTGTGTGGAGACCCAATGCATAGGTTGGAAATTTGATTTGTCACATGAAGACATGTCTGCTGATAGTAACGTTTGACGAATGTGCAACCAGTGAGCTTCATTGGTGTTCAGTGGGCGCTTACTCAGCCCGGATGTCAACGCATTTTGATGTGCATTCAGAACACTTGGCTTCGCCAGTTGGCTGGTGTCTATGCGGTCACAGCGACGGCGCGTAGGTCCGTCAAAACTCACCCGCAGCTCGGCCCACACAACAGCGTGATCCGAGTCTACGCTCGTGCTCCAAATCGGGTGACAGTTTTGGACGTAGCCTCTTCAGTGGTAATTTATTGCGATGTCATCGATTTGCTTCCATTGCTGGTCCGAGGCTGGTGGGCACCAAATCAATCTTATGCGGGTGCTGTGTCGAAACTTAGTGCTGGAGAGAAAGAGACAAGCATCTTAGTATATGTGTAACAACCGCTCACTCTTGTCCTTACGGGATCCTAAACGCTGCTAACCATCCAGTTGAATCTTATTAACGGGCGAATTGCTGATTTCGGCGCTTAAATCACTAGCATACACCACAGTAACCGTACCTCTTTCTGTAACGGAGGAGATCGTTAAGTTAGTGATATTACTCATCTTACCAAACCAGTGCTACATTTTGTGGGGACTCAGGCCTCAATGACAAACAGGCACCGTTTGTCCCCGCTTGACTTCGCAGTCTAGAACGAGCCAGCCAATCTAACGGTGCACCTCCGGCTGTTGACTGGGGTCAAAACGATCAGGACAGGTTCAGACCCGGGACACGAAACACTGTCGACGCCAGTTTGACCGGCACTTGAAGTTGCGTCATCTCCAAACGGGCGCAGTGAGAACGTCCCGCCAGTGTAGCGTGTGGTGGATCGCGAGGAAAGCATGGAGCTTAAACCTTGCACGCTGGTTTCCGCTAAACAATACATATCGATCGATAGGGTCTCTAGTGTTCGGACAAGTGCTGCCTGTTGGCCAAGCTGTAGCAAATTGCGCACATCCAACCTCCGTCGTCTAATAGTCTTATTTGGAATTATAAAAGATAGTTAAGACTCAGAGTAGAGAATACACGGAAGCTCCACTTGTTTCTCCGCTCACAGTGCCACAGTTACCTTTAAGCACCCAAGCCCCACTGCTAAGCCGAATCCCGCGCAGTTGTTTACACGGCTTTTGCTTCTGTTGCTTTTATCTACTGTGGTAAAAGTAAGTTTCGGTAATCCTTTTTCACAAAATTTTCCTGATGTTCGAAGTTTCACAAAACTCACCCTGAACGAGTAGATTATAATGCTGACTAAGCTATCTGTGTACTTCACCACCAACAAATTTGACATTCCCTATATTCCTTGAGATTATATTCATTCGTGAAGTTGCTCTCTAGGCACTGGTGCTGCGCTACATTTCTCACCCTTCTCTCATGCTCCTTGTCAGGTCTGAGCGTTCAAGACATGAGTGCCTCGGATGATCGCATCATGATATATGATGGTCGAGGTGGTCTCTCATTCTCTTCACTGAACGGTCCATCGTTCTTTGTCCAATTTCGCATGCTTCAGCGATATGGGCTACAACTGATACAGTTAAGATCTGCCACGAGCTCACTCATACAGGATTTTTCAAGGTGAGCTGCACAAGCGTGATTGACGAAATGAAGTAAAGGAGATGGTGTGTATTTGAATGTAAGTTGTTTATTGCACACGCAAGGTAGTCATTCGTGTAGACCACAATCCGAATGACACCTCACACAACCTGAAGTGCTGACGCTTCTTGCTACGAAATCAATGACAATGCCATTGACGCGCTTGCTTCTATTTATGCTTGGGATAAACGGAATGAATTTCGATAGTTCATCCCATCTGTATAGTTCAATGGAAACATAAACGGAACCTGCTTTGCTTGAAATCTATTGGAATCATAGACTGAACAACATGGCAATAGGACATGTACACAAACTTTGGCCAGATCGACTCAATCAAAGTCTGGCGGACATGCCCCTACACTCTTCGTGGTATCTTTTCCTAAGGTATCTATGTTCCAATGACGCAGACGTCTGACTGATCTTTACCCCATGTCTGTATTCTTCTCTGAAGTATCTACAGCCTTCAGGACAGCGGCGAGTGTTTTGCTACGCCAGCCAGTCTATTGGCTGCCATCACACCAGAGTTTGTTGAAATGACAAAATGGACCTTTGGTGATTGGCTGAGACAACTGACTAAAATCTCCGATCCATTAATATCCGAGATTGCTTATGGCGCAGTATCCAAAAACACCTGCCAGAACCTCAATGTGCACGCGTTTGTGGGTGAGTCATCCAATGAGTTCGTGTTACATCATAGTAGTTATACAGGTCATTTGGCTTTCTGTGCGCATAACACTGGTCAATTTCCATAGTGAGCACTTGCTGAAGTTGAGAATACTGTGGCCACCGAAAAGTGTGCTGTTGGTCGCTACCGTGCTTCTGATTGTGATGGATGAGACCACTGAACACGTGACTAGCATATTGATTAATTCCTTCGCCAGTGGATTGTACGGTGTGAGTTTCTCCATACACTGGGTATTCACAAATGCAGCATCAGAGCCATACATTGAACATCGTCTACTACCGATACCAAACAACAAAACACGATAAATTACTATACCGTAGCTTCTAGGTTGTTGCTCATTTTGTGGTGTTTTACCGTGTTCTCCGGGCATAGATAACCATGTTGCTGGCATAGAACGTTCTGCCGTCTAATGCATCCAGATGTAATGCGTTATGCAATTACCAACACGTTCCATTAAAGCCAGTAGACAGGGCAGAAACTGCCTGTTTTGGCTACTGGAAAGCACAAGGTTTGCTTAAGTATTCATTTAATATTCTGTTTATTCCACTAAAGCATGACAACCACAACTCGGATCGATTATTGAGACACTTATCGCTGTTGAAGGTTGGAAATAGATTAAATCTTTTTCTGTCAGTTTCTAGTGAATTCTGTATGGCAGTACACTAAATGCTATTAAAAGTGTTTTAAAGAGGAAGGTTCACCACCGCTTTCAACGATTATCATTACAAGTAATCTTAAATAAGCTTTACTTTTTGCTAGAATAAAATCCGAAAGGAATCCATGTGGATGTGTTAAATTTGACGGTATGAAAATGATGGCGCAGTGCAGGTTTATCAAACCTGCAACGTAACATACATTTCGAGTTACGCTGGTCGGAAGAATACCGCTATTCAGCGACTTCACTAAGTGATAGAATGGACCCAGCTAGGTTGTAAAAGAACATCTGGAGTGCTGTGCGGTGCATCACAAAATACTTACTAACTAACTCCAGCAACGCAAATAAGGGAAGAAAACATAAATTGCCTGACAATTCTCTGGAGGTCTAAACTGGTTGACACTGTCAACCAACAAGATTTCCGAAATTATGTGTCTCCTCCGGTAGTACCATACGCATCGATGTGGATTTTATCTAGTCCGTAAACTAACATTAACTGATCTGGAGCTCGTCGAATGCTACTTTCGATCATTAATTATATGTCAAGTTCATACAAGTGGGTAACACATGAGGAAGTTTAAACCGGCCTACCGATACTTGCAGGAGTAACCTTACAGATTTGAGCGCCGTGCAGTACAACCAACTAGGTAAGGGAGCTGATCCTTTAGTTTGAGTTCCGATTACAGCTAAGACTGATGGTATGTCAGCTAGGTCCCGCAACGGTTGATTCTACCGTGCCGCTGTGAAGTTCATGGCTGTCTGCAACGATTTTGTTCATTCATTCAGTAGAGAGTTCAAGCATTTACGAAACCGGTCATGGCATGCAATGTTCTCAGGAAGCAAATCCAATTATCCATATGTTTCAAATCGGAAACCAAAACAAACTACTTGGAATTCACCGCAAGGTAAAGTACAACCCAAGTTGAGATTGCGAATGGCAGTACATTCACAAAACGGGTGTTTTAATTGAAACTACAATTTACTAGTGCCAAGCGTCCTTTGAAAATTGGAGACGGAATGTGATATAGCAAATACGTTTACTTCCGAGGTGAATGGATGACAGTCGAAGTTCATCCGACACTGACCGGTATTTCGTTTAGAACCATGAACAATGAGCAATGATTTATCACTGGTAAAAAAGCATATGCTTGACAAGTCCCGTAGGATTGTTGGAGTAAAAATTAAAATTTGAAGGATCATCGAATAACTAAATCGTTATTTCAAGCTTCCACTGAGTTAAATGCACTACTTGGTCTCAGCTAAACGTGGCAAGACAAACTTTGTCTGTCTGCATCGATTGCGTTTTAACCACCTAATGGCCCAAGTCTCGGCAAACTGATGCAGGCGAGTGGCACACTAACCGTCGACTAGTGTAAATGACTCACGTGAGTTTTCGCATTTGAGACAGTGAAGTGCATACTGAGCAATAAAGCTAGCTGGAAACTCCGGAGCATTGACTTCCAGATAGCACGGAGTAGGCACTTAAATCATTCTGGACAGTCTCTTAATGCGTGAGACGGCGTGAATACACTTCATTCCCCCAAACAGAGTACGTAGTCATCATTATCTCACATTGAAGTGGAATGTCTGTCAGCGTCAGATGAACTTTGACCGCCCCCGATTGATTTTATCGTCTTGCCGTAACTGTCCGCTTGCCTTACATCCATATTTGTCACAGCGCCCTTGTGACCGGTAAATGGGAAAGTGGGCTTATTTTTACACTCCAATCTAATCTACCAATACCAACGATTACCCATTGGTGCATATATTTGCAAGGTTCGACATGGAGAAATCTTTATCGTCAGTTAACTGACAGGGTAACAGTCGATAATTCAGAAAAGTATTTCTTGTTAAAGAATAGGTAGATGACACATCATTTTGCTCAACTAAATCACACCGAATTTAAGATAAAACAGGGTTAAGGATTCTCGCGAACAACACAACCAAATATGGGGAACTTAAGATGCATCTTCCAAAATGGCCCTCATACATTAACAAAACCTGCTATATATCTTCGTAGAGAGGAAGAAATAGATATCTCACAGGTCTCGAAAATGACCACTGCTGCTGACCGGTTTGATCGACGGAACCAGTGGTAACGCACAAGTTAGTGACTACATTCATGATTCGTTTCTTATCAGCATATTGCCCCTGTGGCACCAGGCAACAAGCACACAATGCGTTCTGTATCCCAGTGGAACAAAGCTTGAATCTCACTGTTTTAGCATTCAGAAGCAATTGCTAGTCATTACAGTGTGACACCAATAAGTTGAAAGTAGTTACGATGTATCTCAGACCTCCGTGACTTATATTTGGCGTTATTTGGCTCTCGCAAGAATGGAGATAGCAGATTGAAATCGCTAATCAGGTGACGTCATTTTCATGCAACAAATTATGTCGTAAATATTTGCAGACCAGGCACCGGTGATCAATCATAGCCCTTTAGCGGGAATTCTAAGAATTCCCCAGGCTGAGCCGCACTTCTCCTCACCAACATTGGCGGCATCGAATTTCTCTGGTGAACAGGGAATTGATAGCAAAGCTCCAGTAGGTTCAAGCCATCCAACAACTTGTACCAACCTAGGCAGCCGAGTGAATTGATCTCCGTAAGCTTTTCTCTTTCTTTAAACCTACATGCTAGTGAGAGAATCCATCAATTTTCAACTATTGTTTTACTCCAAATTTCCTCCCTCCAAGCTTTGCATTGGGTGAGCCGGTGACAAGGGGAATTCCAATATAATTTTATGCTAATCATCATATGCGGCGAACTAAAATCATCGTGATTACGTTCAATCATTGTATGCATTATGAAAAAGAAAATTCTCGGATTGGATTCGACATCAGTGCTGAAGTCTGCGTAAAACACAATACACCCGCATGTTGAAATCACACTCGTCCAAATTCAATGAAGGAAATGAATTGATCACTGATCACTGAATTAGTAATGCGTTTCCTAAGCCGAAATATTTGGTCCCTCAGTATTTACAACGACAGTGGTATCATTTAAAGAATAATATTGAGGCAAGGAAACGAAGGTTAAGATCCGTTTATTAAGCAATAGAAAGGCTTAAATAACACTTGCAGAGGAACGAATAATGCAGCAAACTGAATTAGCAGCTGGACCATAGCAACTATTAGGTTGTGTCAAACAAGAGATAACTACACGTATTGCTGTAACATTGAGTCCAAAGACTACGAACCTAGACAAAGTCGTACGAAAAATAAGGAGATACCATGATATCCACGAGTATGGCCTGTAAAGGTCGCGCAAAATAAGACATTCTGATCAGCTGAAATGTACACAACTGCGATGTTGAGTGAGCCGTGAAAGAAGACAGTTGAAAACACCTTACATAGGACGTAGAAAATGAAAGCACGAAATGTGAACAATGTCATATTTGTTTACCAAATAATTGGATCTATTTCTGATAAGTGAAAAGTTACGCGTCTTAGCTCGCAACGAGTACGCAGCATTTGAGCTTTTGACGTGTCTCGGAATGTCGAAAAGGTAATCTAACGCCTTTTCGGATGTGTGCTAGCCGTCTGATTGAGTGTATATGTAACAAGTCTACTTCGTAACTTTGCACTTCTTACAGTTAGCTGAGGAATGCAACGTGGACGGATAATTGGCGGGGTTGCATTAACACATTTAAGTGATAGAGGCTCAGAGGCAAAGTGAGTCACGGGTTGAATAGACTACTGGGAAACAATGGAAACACATGAGTGTGGTGGAGCCGCTGCAGAGGGTATACATGCGGTTCATTTGCTGCGGATAATGGCGTCGCCACAGCCACAGGGTGCGAACTAGATTCTCTAAGCGTTTGATGGCAAACTTAACTAATTTTATTTTGGATACACGCCTGGGAAATTCTGCCTGTGCGGTCAAAAAGGAAGTTTACGTCCATAATCGCGAGGAAGGGCTTGTGAGATGAAGTGATATATGGTTACGTAGTAAATTCCGCCTCAGCACATTGTGTGCTTGCGGGGAATGGAGCGAATAATGGATCGTAATCATGGCTGCGACAGTTCATCACTTGTACGTCTTAAGCAGCGCTATTTACCGCACAATTTAGACGCAGTGGGTTGTGCTGGACTTTTCCTGTGCTATTTAGGTCCATCCGTGTTCCATATCATAGTTCCACTCATGCGCCTTTGCTGGTCTAAGCATTTCCGTCGCTCTGGTTGCAACTAAGAATAATGTAAGTCTAGAAAACCCAGTCCTGGGCTAATTTTGCATCTTTCCTTAGGAACGCTATTTCAAAAATCACCGTAGCCTTAAAGCGTAAGTTTCCAAAAAGCTTTGTTTTGAAGTTGTCACAAATACCGAACTGCAGTTATTTCTAGATTTATATTTTAGCCCCTCCTTCAGTCGCAAGCCTATATTTGAATAGCATATTGTGCTTTTAAAAATATAAAAGATGCGTAAGCAAGTAAATTGAACTAATATATTCCCCGACAGATGGTGTACGATCCCCATATATAGGCGATTCTTTGTTTAAAGAATCGGCGCCGTAGCTTCCTTTTCTAAGCGCAAGAAATGTGCAGGTCTTGAAAGTTATGTGCCTACCTTGTCCATCGAAGTTAATTTCCCTGTTCTTCGTCCCGATTACTTTCAACTCGTTCAGCCCATACGATTGTTTGCAACTCTGATTTCAAGCTTTTTAGGGGAAACTTGGGAGTAGGTAATGGTTAGTAGAGGAAGTTTAAGTTACACTGGCGCAATTTCGATGTGTAAGCAGTAATGAAGAAGGGATAAGGGTTATTTGCATGTTTCGACCTGTTTACATCCTGTCTGGGCAACATACAGTTGTTGTTCCTGTGGAATGCTTGGTGTCAAATGTATTTATTACATTCGTTATAATGAGCAACGCTTCTGGTTTATCAATGGCAACCAAGTCTACGCACGTCCCTACCTTAAGAGGCTATATATACGAAGGATTAGCGTGGTTTGGTCGGATGTTAGGGCTAATAGGTCTGGAGAGTCGCGAGTAGCCCTTAATACGAGTAGACTAGGCAGCATTTTCCCCACAACTCAAGGGCAGTACTGTGTTAGCACATGCGTATCCATAATATTGTGGCGAAGGTTGTTCTTCCGTACTCGCAACGAAAGGCAGTCAACTCAGGGATGGTGAAAAGCATTGTTTTATTACAAATCGAGAAAAGTCGTGTGACTAAATTAATAAACAATCTTGGGAAAGCTTCCGGATGGTTTTTATATGGCCGCCAATGTTGGTACAGTAGTCCAAAAAATGTCATACTATGATGTATGTATGGCTCAGGTTGGTTTATGGCAACAAACAAGTCCTGGTTATGTATGACTGTCTGGTTTGCAGGACGCATCATATGTCTTGGACTGCGACACGCAGTCTCAGTTACGGTTTCGGTTGACTTTAAAGTCAACCTGTGTCATTCTGATCACTGGGACCGTATCCGAAGTGGATGGTTTCGGAGTTACCCTCTCCCATTCCTGGACTCTACGACGTCTTTTGTCCCTGTTTAAACTCATCAGGTAAAGAGAGCCTGAATTGGGAGTGGAACTCGTGCGCCGAAAAACACGACAATCAAATTCTAACCGTTGTATCAAGCTGTGCTCGCGATGCTCAATGGTCTGATAAGCATGGCGATTACAATAAACCACTGTGTGCCGAGTTCCGCTCCACTGGTGATACCAAACCAGGTCGCAAAGCTTCCTGATGTGCAGGAATTGGTGTGAGCAACACAGAAACCACCCTGTATATGTGGGCGCACAAGGATCTAACTTTGCGAAGTTAGGAAAACAGGTTGAGGGAATTATAGAAAAAGGAATATCTCCTTCCTTAATCCCAACCGGAAGCAGTTAGGAGCAGGGTACCAGAAAATTGACTGAACCTTCCGCGATGAGATGTCTGTACCCAAGTATCTGTGAATTTCCAGCAAAGAACTTCATTGATCAGCTTTCAGTAAGTGCATTCACTGTAGTTAAGCCTTATCCTACCTTTCTCGGATATGGTAGTAACCGGTGTACTAGAAATGAGTAGACTGGTTGGGTGCCATTTGCAAGTAGAAATGAGCGTCCATACTTGATGGGGATGCAGATGTATTTTATATGCATTAAAAAACGTGGCCGCTTACGCAAACTCTCCTCAAAGACACTGTTGATTATGCTTTATAGCGTAGGATAATACGGGCCCCTTCTGAACCTTTTGCTGTCGTAGGTATGAGTCCAACCTTAGCATAGAGCTTCCAGTGTCAAATGATTCCAGAACAGACAACTCTGGTTTGTGTGGCACGAGCTTGTTTGTCCTTTTCATTTTCAAAAGGATAATGCATCCTGTCTTTCCTCTGTCCATTATGCTCTTAACATGATCTAGGAATTATGAGTGCTCGTCCGTTTTTCTAAGGAGTCAATGTTGAAACATGTAGGTATCCATATCAAGAGGGGAGGGAAGGAAGTGCACATTACCTCCCAAATACGGGAAACATATGAAGTTAGTGAGCCATCATGAAACCCCAACGCTTTGATTGCTCGCTACTTTCATGGGTTCTTCTTAGCAGCTGCATTATTGTCCTTGCTCTCTGAGGATTACTATGTATCGACAGTTTTCGATGACTTTTCGTTCCTTCAGTTAAGCGTGCAGGACGTGGCTTGGCCGCGTTGCTCATGCATGTTCCTCCATACGATAGCTGTTGGTACATCCAAACATGCTATAACAGCGTCGAAAGCGTCTTTGACTTCGACAGTTGTGTTGTTGATTTCGGATCATGAGCCACAGCTCATGGTACGGATAAAGTCGTTGAGTGCACTCCAATCATTTCTTTGGATGTTACTAGCTAGCTACAACTTTGTTGGTGATGGCCTAGCCGACTCAATAATCCGCTGCGAAACTCCATTTCGTAGTCGCAGCCCGGTAATGAATTACTAATGGCTACATAAGCGGAAAAAGCGCCAAGGGAATATTAGACCTAAGATAGGTATACCTCCCGGGAATTGGAACGTGTTGGACCCTGGCACTTTTGTAAATACATCATCTGATTTGGTTAATTCGCACAACCGCTGTAGGCGTCAGCAATCTCCAGTTAGCAAGCAGCAAATCGATCTCCGTACCTTGTAGGCTATGCTCTGGGCATTAGGTTCCTTCACCTTATCCACTTGTGAAGGTTAACGCCGCATTTCCGATTGCTAACTCGCTTTCTCAGGTTGTGAGCATGAGTGACGAACTAGCAACTATGGAATTGTGCTCTCTACGCAAAACGCGGGGAAATAGATTTCAAGCATGTGCTTACGATCCCCTATTCGTATTCGGTGGAGCTGCTTCCGGCCTGTCGACGGTCTTCGTGGTTATGCAGCTGATCGTTATATTTTCAGATTAGACCTAGAGCTCCCTCTCCTTTGATGAGAACTACTTTGTTGATGGCAAGAGTTTGCGTTAGCGAACTATGCACCTTTGCCGAAGACAGTCGCTATTACCAATGCGACAAACGTACATTCCATGAGATGTCCCATCTCAATAAGCATAACCCTAGCAATTGTGAACATATCTTTGATTTTGACCATTTGTCTTGTATTGAGGTTGCTATCAACATTCTCTTTGTGAAGGCCACTGGGTCTCAGTTTGTGGCATCACACTCCCTCTACATCAGCTAAACCCTAACTTCCCCTGAGCTCCGAAGTTGAGTGAAGCATAAATACGAGGCTCGTGGATATCCATTCGTGAATGGCATCTTCCTGCAGCCAGATAGGAACACTTCTTGCGCCATGAATTCTGCCGTCATAGATTGGGAATCACTGGAGAAGCCTAAGGCGTCGGTTTGTCCTTTGATACCCGGCCGGGTCAACTGCAGATGCATTCGCATTAGATCTATCTTTCCCTTGCCTCTTGTGAGCCGAGTTCTGTAAGGGAACTCACCCCATCTTATTAGCTCTGGAGTCTTCCGTGAAAACACTCAAGGGACTCAGTGGACCTAATATACATTAACATAACTTCTGCTGATCCAGCCTCCCCACCATGCAAAAATTACAGCTGACATATTGATCCTTCGACAGACGTGTGGTGCTTGGTTGATGGAGGTTAACTTTGACGATTTCTCTAGGAGAATTATCAAAATTCCGTTGATACTACTCCCTCGAATGAACGCATACATGCGAAACTGCAGAATATGGAGGATTAGTGTACCAACCGCGCAGAAGCAAGAGGCTCAATTCAATCTATGACCCAACAGGTTATGGGACGTTACCGATGCTATCATCAACTGATCCAAACTTCAATGTTAATAATTGGAGTCACCGCAGTGTACTCTGACTAGCCTACGAATCAGGTGGTAGGTTTCCGTCTCTGCAACTCATTTCACTTTCTACACAATATTAGGTTTTTCGTAAAGTAACGCTCGTGGATAAACTCATTCAAAACTCCTCTTAACACCGGCTACTGGAGGTGCACAGTGATTCCTAAGGTAAACTGCTTCCCATATTCAACTGCTCTCATATCAGTGAGGGCCATTGCAATAGTTATTCTCAAATGACCACACCACAGCTGCGTTCTATCGATTCGTTAACTGTGCAGCCTATTTGATCTTTAGCTGTAACGCTTGCGCCACTCACGGTCACAGCGGACGTGTGAACCGCTATCCAGTACGCATGCTGATTCTTATGTCTGACGAACCGTAACTGGCTTTGCTCTCTTTGATGACTTAGTATTGTCATTTAATTCACTTTTAGAGTTAAGTTTTGAAGCGAATCCTTTCTAGTTGATGGAATAATTTGCTAGGTCGCCATCCAGACATTATCTCGTATGTGACCAACTTCGCATGTTTATTGCTACAGGTTTCATTAGCTTAGCAGGCATGACACCAAAACTGGCCGCTATCCGAGATGGCAACGAACTTGTTCCCAAAATGCTGATTGAACATGCTCTGGAGCACAATCCCACCGGGAATCCAGGAGGGTTTATTCATGCAAAGGTTACTGCCATCCAGCCGTCTACATCCGTTGACAGGTAGTTTTCCTTTCCTGTGATGCATTTGTCAGCACAGTTATATTTCTTAATGAAGTGCTCGTTATTCATGCTGCCCGTTGCTCATGGCTGCCCAAGGTAAACTGTTGTCTTTCTGTCACTATGGGCTCTGTTTATTGTACCTCCTGTTATGTAACGTTAACTATTGCACTTCATTAAAGTTTCTTGCTATTATTGTTATATACATTAGCTAGAGGTGGGAAACACCTCAGCTACTCTGCCGCAGTAGATAAAAGAAAAGGAAAATAATTACAACAGTTGCATGCCAGCTGAGCTACCAGCAACGGATGGGCTTCGTTCCGGTAAGCTACCAACCGGCTACTAATCAACAAGAAAATTTATTAGGTAAAATTATATTATGCTGCAAAATGAGGTCATAGTTGGAGGGTGTTTCGAGCCCATCAAATATTCCTGCAAAAACGAGCCGGAAACCCCGGCGTAATGGCTATGGATAGCTAGGTCCAATTCCTCCCCACAATGCGGTCAGCGTTCAGCCACTCCGAGACGCGGCCCAACTGCGCACCTTTTGACAATGGTCTTTTGCAAACTACCACCTTGTCGCGGTAGCACTTTTCCTTAACTTAATGACCTATAGCACTGGCTGTGATTCGCTCTTTGTTGGTCATAAAAGAGCCTTCAGAGGACGCCTGTCTTGCTTTCCTCTTCGCCTTACTTGGGAGTCGGTCGGGTCACGTGATTTTGTGTGCGTCGATAGCCGGGCAGTGTTCGCCTCTAAGTCGCTAGTGCACGTCTACTGTAACCCTTTCTCATGTGCGTCCGTTCCCAGGGCTCAGCGTCTACCCGAATAAGTGCGGTTAGGATCGTTCTCAAGCTCGCTCAATTTTCGTCTCACCAGCGCGTACCCCGGGCTAATCCACGCCATCAGGTTAGCGCAAATCCGTTCGACTGGCCGACGTTACAAGCCGTTACCGTAGGCGTGCTCCAACCGTGCCAGTGACAATCTTATCAGGCGTTACGCAATCATAACAGAGGCGGTTCCCTCAATTATAAAAGAGAAGAGGCTAAAAGGGGTGGGGAGAGACAAAGAAATTCACAGCAGGAACACCACTGAAGTCGGCTCCTTGCCACATCAGCAAGTGTATCTGGCCAAACGTGGTCATGGTCTTTTGGATCCCAACCAGGGAGCCGTGACGCTCCAAACGAGGACAGCTCCGAACTGAGAGACTTCACTGCTCTGGACCAAGTCATCCCTCGGCAACCCCCTCTACTTCCATCCACACCCCCGGTGAGCAAACAACGCACGTCGCGGAAGTCGGTGGACTGGCATGCGCAACACGTGGCTGAGCAATTGGAGCCTGGTGCGTGAAATGACGGTGCTGAGCGGTTCAGTTCCTTTTTCTGTTCTGTAAATAAGGCGTCGAACCCGCTCGTTGCTCACGCGGTGTTCCCAACAGATGTGAGCCGAACTGCGGAGGCACCGATGATCGAACCTAACTAGCCTCTTGATGTCAGCTGATCTTGATAATCGCCTATTGTATAGGTTAGCTAACAGTATTGTCTTCTTGAAATAAGCGCAGCTGTCGTTTAGACTGGTGAGCTCATGCTCCATTTTTGAACAAACTTCGTCAAACCTCTTGAATGCAGCAAATACATATTTACTGTCCTTTATCTAAAATGTCTACCTATTGGTCAAAATTTCCCATTTATGGCCAGATCCCATTTGTTTCTACAGCTGAGGGATATTTGTTTATTTATAGGAACCTACGGCAATGTGCGCGCAGCCGAACCACTAACACGGTCAGTATCTCTAGTTGAACTTTGTGGGGCAGCACAAGCGTTTTCTACCGCAAATGACTTGGCCTAAGGCAGGCCGAGTTCAAGCTGCAGTTTTTGGGCATAAGAGCAGTTTCCGGTTGCGAGTAACTAAGCGCTTGCTCTCTTATTCTAACCAGGCCTGTTTTCTCCATTTGCAAGCACAAAACTAGATCAGTTACCCTACTTGTTGGTGCATCAATTCAGCTTTGGTTTTGATCCACCTTCTATAGCACTTTCGGAACAAGACTCCTTCTATTGTCACCATCGCTTTGTGCATTCTTATATCGGCTCAGCACTCGGCGGTCAATACAAAACGTCCCGTTTGTGTTGACAGTTTTTGGTAGCTAAGCTCAAATCGAACACTGATCTTGTTCGTTTTTTGCTCCACTTCCGGTGCTCATTTCCACATTTGGGTCACTGATGGAAGGTGAAAGAAGCCACATATCAAATCCCGATCTTTTCCCACTTGCTTAAGTATTTATCCAGCTGGCTACCTACTCTACACTTGAGGATCTACCACCGAATATTTAGTCGATAACGTGTAGTTAGGACAGAAATGCTGCAAAACGTATCAAAGTAACGTGTGTCCTCTACAGGTGGGCACTACCAATGTGTTCGACTTGGTCATTTTCTGTGTCGTGTTCTTCAATGTGCCCAGACTACTGGCATTAACGGACCAAGCTTCCGCAATTGTTTGAAAGTTTTGTTACCCGCATACATTTTCTCATTGACACAGTTCACATCGGTATGGATTTTGGTATGGTACTTCTGTCCGCTCATGGAGACACTAATGCTGGAGCAACATAGAGGAAAGCCATTTCACAAGTCCATTCGTTGCTACGTGTTTATCATCATTGAGACAAAATTGTTCACCTTTAGTATCAAGATGACACACCCACATACAAACAGTTGATTGTTAACTTGAAACGTATAAAATGGGCACATGCTTATGTTGCCACCTTGATAGCACAAGACGAAGGTTAGACAATTGCATCAACTTTGTCTAGGATGTGACTGACCCATAGCTTCACCGTGCGACTTAAGAGTGCGTACTGCACCAAACCCCTGTTGAATATGGGTTGATCAATTTGGTTTATTGCGCAAGGTCATTTTCCAAACCCAACCGCTCTCACTTTCTGCCCATTTCGAACATGTTTCCCAGGGTTCGCTCATCTGCCAACGCCACTATCGCACCGCACGTTTCCGCTAAAGTGCTGTACACCTGTTTTAATGTGCTTTAGGACCTTCACCACTTGACTTTGTACTACAGATATTCGGATGTAAAGCGCGTTGTGTACCGCCATTATAGTCGTGCCGCCTACACGTAGTCGCTGTACATCTGTACCGCAAGTGTTTCGCAGTTAATACACCAGTTATCGTTCGGATAACGAGACGGTCAGTGTGGAATGGCAGTGCTATAAACTGCTGTCATTACCTTTAGTTCCTGCTACGAAGTAGAGTGATGGAGTAAACTTAGCAGCAGTCCTCAACATGGTGGATATGGACTGCAAAACAGCGAACAATTTTCTCAATAACGGTGTGTTAACTACCTGGCATACACGGCAAGCAAGCAAGGTTTCATCCAGTAGTACTAGTTGATACATGTTAAGTAGGTTTCATGGATTCATAAGTCTGCCAGGTAAACCGCGAAGTTATTAAGAACACCCTCAATATCCTTCATTTTACCCATCTGTGGTCGGTGCTTTATGGTAGTGAATGTTAACCCAATAGAGCTAGTTGCTAGTTGTGTTTCCCCATCCACTCGACTACTCAGTTAGAGCTCATGAGTGTCAACCTGAGCCTCCTAAAAGCGCTGCATACGAAGTCCTCAATGTATTCAATGCTGTGACGCTGGACCTAATCATTATTTCTCCTTGAGCATCGGTCTGAGCTAGTGAGGATGGAGCGTTATATTCGAAGACAAGCTGCGAACCTGATATTTCGCCCTATTCAACTAAAGCACTTCCAAGTTGTATTGATGTCATAAATTTCTTGGCAAGCGTGACTTCTAACTATCAGCATGATTCAAAAGAATAGCCACTGCTCTTGAGTTTAGGTGCTGTCCACTCTTTATGGCTTATACTTAGACTAGACTGCTGTAACATTGGGGTATCGTTTTGTGATGGTTGCATCAATGTAGCCGATCGTATTACTGCGCTGCAGTCCTTTCTTAGTATGGCAGGTTACCACACGTCTGCTAAAGCACCAGGCATCTGTTTCAACCTGCTGGGTCTTGTCAGTGGTGCGCGTTCCTCGGACCCCTGGTGGATGCCGACCCCATAACTTTCTAATACCTGAAGCTTGTGCCACTAAGCTTTGGGTGACGGCGGCGGACTCGTATGACACAATAAACTACAATATACCGCACTTAATCCTCCATCACCATGCTGGTTACGAACTGTGCAGTGGACCGGGGCTTGTCCCCAAGGCTACAACTTTCCTCAAAGCGACTGTGTACAACACGGCACTTAGAGGCGACACTGACGGATTATCGATCACGGATGGGTAGAGGAGATTTTGCTTTAATTTCAGATGAAGTTCGTCTCAGTCTACTCACGGTCAGGCAGGTTTCCACACGTCTGTTTTTTCTCGACTGTGCATTTGCTATATGTCTATTCGAGTAACTATGAATTTGGTCAGTGTCTCACAGGAGTTGATTCCAAGCTATGGTCATCTAAGCTGCAAAATTTTGTCGTCCAATGTAACCAGCAGAAGTCCATGCCTTCAGAAAAGTACTTTAAATGAACCTAAGGGTATAATATTTTTGGGCCATATTCCTTTTATCTTTCCTACATTGTCCTTGAAGGTGCCTTTCAAATCTGAAGTCGTTCGCTGTTTTCTGGTCTAGTAATTATATACACTGTTTTCACATTAATAGACTTATGCAACTGCTCACTTAATCCTGAAGCAGGCTCGCTTCAACTGTAATAACTGCGAAGCGCAAGTCGTACACCCTGCCACCATTTCACAATGGTGGGTACGAAGTGTATTTGAAGTGAAAATAGGAAATGAATATTAAAACGACCGATGATAACACTTTGAATCGCCCTTCAGTTGAGCAGATTCTTTAAACATGAGGCCGGATGTTCAACAGCGTGTGTTACTAATGGCAATTGACAGGGACAGCATGCTTCCATTGATTGTACTCCATTCTGTCCTCAGAAACTTTGTGTTGTGCAATAACAGGACAAGTAAGAGGATATTAGAGAGTTTAGCATCAAAAATAATATTGATCAATTGGGTCAGCGTTGGTGGACACATGGTATGCGTGCGCATTAATTACCATGGACAGTGATCTATTACGTAGTTCCTCACCAACCTAATGCATCAATGAACAGGTTTGAGATGACATTATTAGTGTAACCAGGACACACAAGAGTAGAGATAACCAGACCATTTCGACACTTATTTGTTATTCCAGCTCCTATACCGTCGAATATGTTCTAGCTCAAGAGGAAAACACTAAGAAAGCCACTTTCGACTACGTTGTGTTGGCCGCGCCAATGCACCAAGCAGCAAATATTCTTGGAAGAGGCAACATCAAATTACCCACAGCGACCTACTGTCGGGTAGACCATGCACTGATTTGTGGGACGCTTAAGTATTCTGCCTTTGGGATATTACCTGGTGAGTGACAGCAAATTAACGATCCTGCACTTTGTATTTGGCTTCTTTATAGTAGTGGTCTCGCAAAATGTGAACTCTATAGCTATTAGACCAAGTGCACTGTACTGACCAACAGCCACATTCTATAACAACTGGACGATCCGATAGTCCAGTCAATGAAGTAGTAGTGGTAGGCAACGGAAATTGAAAGTAATGAAATTAACGAGGAGTGTGTCAATTAAATTGATTGCGCACTAGTAAACGCACTTAGATGCATGTCGATAACTGTGGTAGGTCTCAACCTGTCCCATTTGTCGGATTGTTCTTATACCCTCTTATCATTCAGGTCGATTGATCTAAGTGTGGGTTGCAGTCATTTCGCGCATGCTTCAGTACAAGGAAGACAGCCAGTGCAGTTGCCCCTTTCGACTGGACTATTCATCCCCTTGGACAAGTGAGGACACTCGTGAGTGTGTGAGAAGTTGGTAGAAGGCTTGATGGACGAGAACATAGACTATTCTTCTGAGCGATTGACACCCGGTTAACGCGTTTTCATGACAACTGGGAATTATTTACAATAACGCATTGCAAGTGTTTATGAGGCTAATAGCCAGTACAGGTTTACGTTTATTTCCAATTTTGCTACCTGAAGAGCTTACGGTTGCAGAACTTCACCCGAATGATTTGGTTCCATTATCCCTTGTTCTTTTCTGGTGCAACTGGGTATCATGGCTAGCTACAACAGTTTGACGCAATATGCAGCTTAATCTTCAAAACTCGTATTTCGTAGCGGTAACTCCGGTCAAGTTGCAAACCCGGAAATCGGAAGTTGGTGTAGGAACCTAACCCTATTCGGAAGGAAACTTTTCTATTTCGACTACCTTTATAATCGTAAACACATTGCCTTACCATCCGTATAAAATGCTGTGTGTGTTTATCACCAGCTCCATTACTTCCCTCTACCCACGACTAAGTGATTTTGATCACAGCCTGCATCAAGTAAACACCATTCCCGCTGCACAGCACCTCGTCACTATCTTTCCACGCTTTGCTACTCTAAGGGACAGGTTCAGCATACTCCAGTGCACCAGTGTCTTTGCTATTGCACAACGCTTCCGTGTATGGGTAAGGTCTTTGAAAACCGACTAGCAGTAAACATGCCAACCATATATTAGTTTTATGTATTTCTTCACAGTGAGTGCAGTGGTGATTAACCTCATCTGCTTTTGATAAACTGGATTGATCTACAATCTTTGAAACCTGCTTCGGCGGGCTACATGTGTTTATCCAGAGGGAGAATTTAAGTTACTTGCAGCTGCTGTGCATAGCGTGAGCTAGTCTATTAACTGATTGAATCTCGTTAAATCCTACCTCTGAGTATAGCAAGCTATTGCGCACCAAGGTCATCGAAGTCCCGGAAAGTAACTGCTATTTTTGACAAATAAATTACTCACGGTGAAGAGGAGCACATTCCAATTGAGCTGAATTTGGCTGTGTGTGATGAAGAGTTTCCCATTCAGTGCAGAGACCCGCTTTCACAACTCTAAAGTTGAAGGACTGCACTAGCTTGCACGAACTGCTTTCTCAAGCGAACTACAGCACAGTTCCAAAATAAACGGAGGCGGTTATGGCTTAATACCTTTCTACGATTTCCATGGGACTCCGCCTGCACAAAACTTATAATTCTTTGATTTTGAGCGACCTTATAATCGCTTCGATCCAGATCATTCTTCACGATGAAAGGATTTAACAAGGCCTACTGGGAGTTGTCCTGAAATAGAAATATTTGTATTTCGTGTTCAACCATCACATTAAGTCGGTGAATTGCAGCTGCCGTTCCATTGCGCAACACGATAAGTTGAGTTTAGTTAACAAGATCACAATGAAGTAAGATTTGCATTGTGCGTTCGGAGGATCGAGCCTTTAGGTTGCAAAGCTTGGTGGAAGCTAACTACGAGCTAACTGATACTCTGGTTTTAGAGTCACCTGTTGCAGAACCAACATCATGATGTCCGACTCCTAACGCAACCAACTCCGGACGGAAAGCAAGAACATACCATGCGGGGGTGTGATGTCTTGAAAATACTAACATGCGTAGGCAAATGGTATGCATGATTGTCGAAAGATCAATCAACCAATCCCGTGGAAGGACATAATCACGAATGTTAAAAAGTCTAACCGTGAAGGAAACTCATACGCGAGTCTGCCGAACACCTCCCTTCTTTAAACTGAACTGCATAGCATGCCACTTTTGATTCATATGCTTTACGTCTTGGGTTAATCTTGAGTCTCTAAGGCTCTGCTCCGCGCTGAGCAACTTCGAGCTGTTGTTTTGTTTCTTTTTGAATGGCAGGCTCTTCCGACGGGGTTATTTGAAACGTATCCAGCAATGTGTGCAACGGTAGTTAAGTTTCCTGTTTTCGGGGTGACCCTAGCACTCCAAAGCGAGGTTTAATATGGTTCATATATCTAGGTTATATGATGGAAGCTACTTGTAGTCTCTACAAAAAGGTTGGAATCCGTTGTAGAGTCGAACTCAGTTACTGGTAGCGGCAATTACCAGTAAGACCAACCATGGATAACGAATCTACTGAAATACAACTTTGCAGAACCCAACATGCATTGTGCGACATACAAAGAATTGGAAGTCAAGGAACGAAGCACAAAACGATGAACCGCATAGCTCACAGGGAAATCGAGAGTGTACCGAGCGTGCAGTCAGTAAAACAAATTAACGATCGGAAGATACAAACAAGAACAAAATCCAGTGTCATAAAATACTGAAAGCGTAAGTGTTTCACGTTCACTACACGGCCAGGAATCTATGATAATCTTCGTCACGAAAAGTCTTTACGTACACATTAACACCAGGCACGAAATGCAGGAGACGTGTTAAATGATGGCTATTAATATCCAATTCCATTTGAACTTTGTGCTCTGCCTTGTGCAGCAATGGTTTCAAAGCATCAATGACTGTTCTGACATGCCTACCGAGAGACACTTAGAACGGAGATATGTTTTAAGTTACCCCTGGACCTTGCGTCGTACGGTGAATCAGCAAAAGTTGTCGATGATTTCGCTGGATATTTTCTTTTTCTTCCAGTTTCATCAATGTTTGCTTTAACATATCTGCCCGTTTTACTGTGGATGGTACGCTGGACTACGTATGTGTTCGATGCTAGGTGAGTTGCAAGTCTGCAAATTCTTGATAAGTGAATTGGGGACCATTGTCAAAAACAACTGTTTGGTGAACACCACATCCTGAGTTAAAGTGGCGGAGGTGTAACAAACTGTTGATGGTTGCGTAGCTCATTTGAAAAACTTCTGGCCACTTTGAGTAATGCATCGACAAGTACCAGATAGTGGAAAAATTCCAGGGGTCTGGCAAAATCAATATAAAAGCGAGACCATGGTCCGCTTAGAGTTTTCTAAGGATAACGATCACATATGACAAGTAGTTTTGCTATCATAGCACAGCTGTAACAAGAACAAACCACAGTTTCACTATACTGGTCCATGAATGGTCAGAAGGCATAGCTGTGGGCTATAGATTTCATACGACTGTTTCCCGGCTGTCCTTCCTGGAAATAACTGGGAATTCTCTTCTGCAAAATCTTGGGAATCACAACGCGGTCTCTTAACAGCAAGCAGCCATCAATGGTGGTTAAGATGATGATGATGATGATGTGTCAGCTGTACGCCGTAACGGCGCTTCGCTGCCGCGCGACCACCACCAGTCGCGCGCGGGCTGAGTATACCGCGAGGACGCCCACCCCTACACGGATTCGAACCGGTGATCTTATGGTTGCAGAGCAAACGTGCAGACCACTCGGCCACCGGCCGACTGGTGATTACGAAGAACTTCCTTTTACGAAACTACTCATCGCAGGTGTCCAAGGAGAGTGCAGACCAACCAGTGCTAATGAATCCGCTAACAAGTTGTAACGAAGGAGCTTTTCCTGTTTCTACTAGGACTGCGTCTGCTGTTACTGGGAGCTAGCGTACCGGCGTTTGAAATACTTGTCTAATCTAGGGATCTAAGGTACTGCTGGATATAACAATGTCCTCATCCGGTGCCTTAGGCATGCAGTCGGCACCCAGGCTGGATAATGCATCAGCGTGACCAAGAGAAGTCGTACGTTTAAAACACGAATCGAAATCGTATGCTATTAGGGTGGTTGTCCAACATTGTAATCTGTCTGCCATGTGAACGAGGAGGTTTCTTTTGTTGCCAAAAGTGGATCACAAAGATTTATGATCTGTGTATCAAGCAAATTTGTGTCAATATAGCAACTTATGGAATTTCGTAACCGCATCGATGAAAGCAAAACGACAGAGCTATCTACCTTTGACTGTAGTTCTTCCGCTGCTGCTAACGCGAAGAAAACATGCGTCACAGCCCTTTGATATCCATTTGTCAACTGATGCAGCGACACAACAACAATACCGTTTTGCGCTGCATCAGATGCGACAATTATTGTTAATACTAGGTCGTAATGAGTAAAAGGATATTGCAGGACAAAATTTGTTTAATGTCCTCAAAGTCTTTCTGGTACTGAGATGACCAATGCCATACTGACTTATTCACCCAAAGTGAATTTAGTAGGGCCAGACGCCAGTCTATTATGACGCTGAATGCTAACACAACCCACTCCGAACGAAAAGCAAAAGTACACCTGCGGGGACGAGGTGTGTTGAAAAACTGGCATCAATGAGCAAACGGATGCATAAATATTAATAGGTAAACCAACCAATCAAGTGAAAGGACATGGTCACAATGGGTGAACGGGCTAACTGTAAAGGAAAATCCTGCATGAGTCTGAGTAATACACATGAAAAATATCACGTAGACGACGGTTTTCATAGCAAAGGAAACGCGTGACATACCCCATCAATGCCCGCCAGTATTTACATGAATTTGCCGACGCAAAGCTGCCGGGTGTTTTGTTAATGTGGTCCGGAGCTAGGAGCGGTTGCACTCAGGTGCTGACGTACAACCGGCACGCGGAATTGCTAACTGTCCAATGGCGCAAATTGCTTTGCCGGCAGGGGTGAGATAGGACACAGATGCCACATGTGTGCCTACGATCGCAGAGCACACCGAGGCGTTCAGCTGTGCGAAGTGAACGTTAGCCGGACACCACAGTCGCAATGAATGCGTCATGTCTCAACCGCATGGCAAGACCTAGCAGACGCATGCCGTTCAGCTTTGAGGACTGAACGTGGGCCAGACACCACCTAGCCGCGCTGAACGTATCATGCTTCAATCGATCAGTAGTCGGTCTTCATGCAGGTGCAAAGCCAGCGAAAGTGTTTTCTGCAAAGTGTGTGGCTGTGCTAGCAACTGAGAAAAACAGCCTGGGCGTATTGAGGACCAGCTGATAGACACCGTATTTCTATCACCACAAAAGCTGTTATCGCCTCATAGCTGGCTTCCAATAAACCCGTAAGCTTGAATAAGCCTGCTTTCGCTGCTGAAGGCAATTATATTGCCGGGAGCACATTATAAGGTTACAGGGTCGTTCGCTTTACCAATTTGATCACGTGTGTGTTACAGCTGATAATTCACCCTTCATGTGTGCATAAAAATGATTTCTTGACTTGACATGACAATGCTCTTAGATCTCGGTCCTTCCCGGTGCACTGGTTACACCATTAGATAGTACACCAATTTAGTCATGAATACAACTATTGCCCTCATCGTCAGACTATTGGTAGTTGTACAAATTGGTCAGGCCTTCGATGGTATTTTTCGTTTACAACGGAGAATATACATGTACTCATTTCTTTAATTATATTTAGATGAAAGGGGTGAACTTTGTTAAATATCAACGAATTAGATATTTACAACATCAAACAAAGTGGACTGCCTCGCACCGTCATGGATGGATTAGCAGCTTGCGAAGTTGCGCACAAGGTACGCACTAACAGCCATTGCAACATTCGGCAACTCGCGCAACATTGAGAAACCACACCGTATGCTGTGCGTCGGATATTGAAGGGAAAATTTCCGGCGGTACAGTGCACTGCAAGTGTAAGTGTTGGACGCATCCGAATCATAGAAGCGCCTGGAATTCGCCCGTTTATTTGTAAACTGCCTGGACATGCCTTCCACTTTGTTCACCGATAAGGCGGTGTTTCAGCCGCATGGCGAAGATACGATACATGTTTGGGTAACGACCAACCCATGGCAATATAGCGCTCCATGAGTGCAACATACCGCGAAGCTCATGGCCTAGGCTTCGTTGACTGTCGAAAATTCATTGGGCCCTTTTTCTCTTCCAGCAATGTGTCCAGTAGATTGCGGTTTAACAATTCCAACGTCTAACATTTATTAGCATCCTCGTGCACAGAAATGTTGCAGAACAGAGTAATTCCGCAGCTACAGTAGGAAGGGTTAATGCATAACGTTTGGTAGCAGCACGATGGCGCACCCGCACATTCGGCGCAAACGGTTCGCGTCTACCTGAACGAGACATTCGGCGGAATATGGATCGGTTACGGAAGACCGATAAAATAGCTTGCAGGATCACCGGATCTGAATCCCATGTGTATTTTTCTATGGATACACTTGAAGCTCAGAGTTAATATGACGAGAACAAAGCCTGGCTGAACTGAAAGAGCACATTGTGAACGAATATAGGCAGAGTTTGTTGGAGACATTGCAGAAAATGCTCGCCATCACCATTCCGCGATTGCTTCTCTGTAGCCAAAATGACGGTGGGCAATTCGCACATGTAATTCATTGATATTTACCGACAGTTCACCCCTTCCATCTAAATATAATTAAAGAAGTGAATACAGGTATATTCTCCGTTGTAAACGAGTAATACCATCGAAGGCCTGACCAATTTGTACAACTACCAATAGTCTGACGATGAGGGCAATAGTTGCATTCATGACTAAATTGGTGTACTATCTAATGGTGTAACCAGTGCACCGGGAAGGACCGAGATCTAAGAGCATTGTCATGTCAAGTCAAGAAATCATTTTTATGCACACATGAAGGGTGAATTATCAGCTGTAACACACACGCGATCAAACTGGTAAAGCGAACGACACTGTAACCTTATAATATGCTCCCGGCAATATGATTGCCTTCAGCAGCGAAAGCAGGCTTATTCAAGCTTACGGGTTTATTGGAAGCCAGCTATGAGGCGATAACAGCTTTTGTGGTGGTAGAAATACGGTGCCCATCAGCCGGTCCTCAATACGCCCAGGCTGTTTTCCTCAGTTGCTAGCACAGCCACACACTTTGCAGAGAACACTTTCGCTGGCTTTGCACCTGCATGAAGACCGACTACTGATCGATTGAAGCATGATACGTTCAGCGCGGCTAGGTGGTGTCTGGCCCACGTTCAGTCCTCAAAGCTGAACGGCATGCGTCTGCTAGGTCTTGCCATGCGGTTGAGACATGACGCATTCATTGCGACTGTGGTGTCCGGCTAACGTTCACTTCGCACAGCTGAACGCCTCGGTGTGCTCTGCGATCGTAGGCACACATGTGGCATCTGTGTCCTATCTCACCCCTGCCGGCAAAGCAATTTGTGCCATTGGACAGTTAGCAATTCCGCGTGCCGGTTGTACGTCAGCACCTGAGTGCAACCGCTCCTAGCTCCGGACCACATTAACAAAACACCCGGTATACGTGGAGCCCTGGCTTGTTATTCGCTCCCATCTTTACTTCAATAAACATTTTTCAATAATGTGCATCCGCGTTAGACGTCGTATTTTTATTAGCCGGTCACTTATCGCCGACGGACTGTGCCGTTTGATGTAAAAATTGGACTAGTCTCAGTCAGGTTTTTACAAACTTACACCGGGTGACAACGTTATGGTGTAGTGTTTTCAATACTGCAGGCGAATGCATTAAAGCTATTATATATTTGTAACGTCTAGGGGACTGGTGTTTTCGATCGCGGTAAGTATGTCTCTTGTCCGTAAAGCATTAGCTTCTTCATTTCTGAGTATTGGCTTACCCGCTCTATGTTTGGATTGCTATACCTATTCATAACTCCATCACGATTTATTTTGAATTTAACTTTATTTATTTCATTTACGAGGTCTGCATCCAAGGTGGCGATTTCTGGGGGTATTCGTTCTGCGATTTTTGCCTCTACTCCGATAGAAACCGATGGAGCTGATAATGAAACCCTTGGCGTGCTAATTTATACCTGTTCCCTTGATCTCTTGGTTAATTTTCCCCGTGTGTAACGCTTGACATAGAATTTAGGAAGCCGCCATTGTGTTTTGGAGTATGCACCAGATGTTTGGAATGCAAGTCGCCATATCTGACTGTGAAGGTCACTCAATGGCAAATCCGGTTATTGAGCGCATTGTTAAAATCCATAGAGGCCGAAAACATTTAAATCATTTTGTGTGTCCATACTTATCTGAAGTATACCAATCCGTAGTCAACCAAATCAGTGGTAAACTCTTTTCCTTCGGTAAATTTAGTAATTATAATGATAAAACTACATGCCTTTTACATTAGTGATTGTCGCTTACCTTTGCTGCTTATGATTGATAAATAATAGACATTTCATTGATTACTGGTACCAAAGATGAACAGCTTCCTCTTCTGTAGCCGACTTAGTCTTTTTGTGGATCAGACTTTAACATGCGAAATTAAAGACCCGTTTCATTTGTAGAAGCTGTTTACTTTGAGCGGTATTTTAACATCTGCGCAGGAAAACCTCGTCTATGCAGCGTGTTGCTGGACCAGTTTGTTCAATCTTATTACAAGCCTTATACCTTTCCATCTAAACTAGGTTAAACAGAATCTATTTGTTGTAAAGAATGTAACTCAGACGTCACTACAGCATCTGCAAGTCATTATCTGGCTCTAATCGTATGTTACTTCCATTGTCCTAATCCGTTTACAGGCTCTGTCATAGGGAATAAATTGCCAATGATTTTGCCGTCTGAAAGCGCTTATGAAGAAAAGTTGTGTCCATTTCGAAGTTTGTTTCTACTGCCAACAAAGGTTGCGGATGGTAGTGCCAACGTTTACTCCTCTTTCATTGTGCCAGAGCGCTCGACCGACCCGATCAAATCACTCACTTCTTTCATCGACCCAGTGACTCCAACTAACGACATTGGCTCACGCGGCCTAAAAACGGAGTGGTTTGCGTGTCCCGTTTACAAGCCGGTGGTAAAGTCAAGCTATTAATTGTTGTCAACTCTGAGCTCATTGTTTATTATCAGTTATATTGCTCTTAAACTACGCGATAGAACTACAACTTGTCGTCATGCCTAGAACTGTACATATTTCCATCTGTCGAAAATGCTTCGCTCAAAATGTAGGTTTAGCCCGTTATCATCTCACAACATGTTGACACTCAGCTGAGTTGAAAGTCACTGGTTCCAAGTTCGTGAAGTCAACATCCAATACTAGTCGAATGAGCGCTCTATGCTGGGTGGCAGTAAGACCGGAGCTCATGACCGAGTCGGTTCGTTTGTCAATACAACTGTCGCTGTTAGTTGGAAATTCCTGGTACGAGTTTAAGGGCCCTTTTCTGTAGAGTTCTCTAGGTTTCGTGATTATCAACAATTGCACCCAGCTCTCATTTTGCGTCACATATTCCACTTCCCTTCTCTCATGGGTCCAGTTAGATTAATATTGCAAGCCGCAATCCATTCTGCGTTCGACTCTAGATTCCTCCTGTCTGTTATTTACTGCCATCCACAATATCTTTGAGCTCTTACCTGGGAGCACTGCCTTAAAGCTTGGCCTACAATTGGTGCGGTAACACAGGACCTCAAATATTTAATGCGTGCTACAGAGCAGATGGCTTGACGAGGTCGTTATTGCCGGAGCGCAAATGGATCTTTTTATTTAGTGCTCAAAGTTAGCATGTTATGAAAGAAACTTATTGTTCTCATTGACTAAACGCATTCAATTCCTTTTTTATGGAACACTCGACTGTGTCACACCAAGCTTCAGTCAGGTAGCCTCCCCCCGTTACATGGCTGTTCTGTTATATCCCTAACCATCTAGTTTCTGGGCTCGGAACTATGACGTTTGCAATTTCTAGGTGGCACATTGAACAGCGGAGCCACTGAATGCATATGAAATAACTGGATCACTCGCTATGATATAACTTAGTTCATGCTATATCTTTGCTGCCATACAGGAGACAAGATTGTCTTCCAAAAGGATTTCTCAAACATTTTCAGTTACCCTTTGGCATCTGGGAAGATTACTAACTTTGCTCTTTTTCTGCTCATCATTCATCCTCTGCAGGAAGACCCTCAAGAGGAACTTGGTACTTTCATCTTGGCACCCAACCTCTATTATGCCAATGCAATTGAAGCGATAGCTTCTTGCATGGAGATAGCGGCGATCGGAGGTCGCAACGTTGCCTTGCTAATCGCCGCTCAACGGCGATCATCGAAACAGCCGACATGAGCTGCACAATTTCGATCGTTTGAAGACATCATTCGCTGACTCTCACGTGTTGCATAATGTGTATGGTTATCAAATAATTTTCGTTTCCAGCCTTTTTGGATCATCTGTACTTTTATTGCCTCTGAAGACGGATAAATCATTTTCAATTAGAAGACATAGTTTTTGAGATAAGATTATCAGATCGTGCATCCTTAGCGTCACAAAATGTTGCCGTGATAGAAGAAAGAAGAATAAAAACAGCATGTTCTTGGATGATCAAGCAATTGCGCTACTTTGGTGACACCTACGGTGGGCACACCAACCGAAGTCTACTTGTCAGAATCATTGAGCACATCCATAAACCATTACTCAGCCTGATGGAATTTCTGACGATTTTACGATTGAATCGGGAACCGCGTTGCCTCGACAGTCACAGAGCATTTGTTAGCCACTAGCCACTAGTCCTGATGAGTCGTTCATCGACCTCGCGTGGTTAGGTTGCTTAGGGCCATTGTTATCGATCGCGAACACCTACTGCTTTGCGTTTAAAAATAACTGAGTTTCGTTCTAAGCCTATCTTGGTAGTGCAAGCACCTGGCCATAAGTAATCTTATCTGCCATTGCGTTTGTTTATCCATCACTATTACATGTTTGTGGATGTTAAAATCACACGAAATTGCAATCTCATCACACAAACTACGGCTTCTGATTTTCCTATTTGGAATTCTGAGGTTTTTCTCTTTTCACATTTGTAACTACTAAAACCACAGACGCGAAAACCGTATTTAGTGTGTCATTTCCGATGTCCATTATTGGACTTGTGGATGCACCCGCTATTACCAGTGTTTTGCTAGATGTGTTTTACTAGATGTGTTCATGTACTTGAAGTTTTATTGGGAAAGGTTGATTGACTAACCTCGATCGGTTATGTATGGCCCTTCGAATTAAGCTGTTAGGTGGACTTAACCAAGAACTTATCGATTGGTTAGGATACCTAATCGGATGCCATTCACTGCTGCACTGTGGTGCCACGGTGTAGGTCTTGTGACACTACATTTGGAATAGTGTGTATTTTGGGAACAGGCATGTTTGAGACCACCGGGCTTTCACGTCCAAAATCTAGCGCAATCGATCCAAATGTACCAAGTACATTTTCAATACGTTGCTGCGGTTCGCAGTTCATTCGGAGTAATGACACACCGGGCTGCGTCCAAGCTCCCGACGGAGTGCGTAGAAAAAGAGCAAGCCGGTACTAACGAAACTTGGGTTACATTAGCTTCCAAGAAGACCCGTCATTTAACAGTAATATCACCCCCAACTGGGTTGGAAACTGAGGTGCGTAGCGGAGTCCATCTGGTGTAAGCACCTGAGGTTTCTTGCGGTACAACTCAAAGTATGTCCATTACTAACCGCAACATGTCGAAAGGTGTAACGAAACAACTACCTGTACTGAGCGTATTGTGTTCTAATATCTCAGAATCAAAGTCCACCTCAACAAGAGGCAGCCAGTTGGGTGACCACAACTAGTGAGACACTATTAGTAACCTAATCGGTGTTGTATTGAAACCTGTACAAATAGTGCATATTACGCGGCACCCCAACTCTATGCATCACGGAGAGCCAAGACTACTACGCGTTGTGCTGAAGTTCATAACTGAAGTAGAATCAGTTCTACTGTCGACAGGTTGTCTCAGAAATGAATACTGCTCCATCCGTCTCTTTCCAGACATCGCATGGGGCGAGCGGTATCAAGGTACCCGTACCTCAGAGGACTACCGAAAGGAAACTATAACCAGGACCATTCTGTTTCACTGGGGTTCCTGAAACTGAAGCATGTGGTGTGCATGAAATAATAAGCAGTAATCAAGAAAAATGGTGTTTTGTCCGTGAAACGCTCTGCTCGGATGAGTTGCTAATGAAATCGGTATTACGGCTGCTTACCTCACCGAACTAAAAAGGAAGTTGCCCAAAAGTCCTGAATGTGGTCCCACAGTCTAAACGTATGGTAGCACAGCTTCTAAAGTGTTGGTACATGTTTCGCTGCAGGCTACCATCTGAACCTCGGCTGAAGACACTCGGCGCTAAGTATCCTAGAGGTGATACGTCACTCATTGAACTAAACGCGATGGGATTTATAAAAGAAAATGCACCAATTGTGTGTCTAATGAGTCCATACAATCGGTTGAAGATAATATTAACCAGACACATTACACTGTACGCAGAAGATTAGACACCGTACTAACTACGCAGACGATGAGTAAGACGTTAAAACCATTCTCCAGATACACGCCGAAAAACGATTAGTCGGCGCCCACTCACTGGTCGGCGAAACTTCACGTATGAGTTGCACCACCTCCGGCACATCGCTAAAATCTGAAAAACTTGCATAGAGGTACAATAACGCCCAAGGGCTCGTCAGTAAACTTAACGAACTTCGGCTACGACAGGTTGTGAATGCTTGGGATCTAATTTCTATTACAGAAACTTGGTTGCACCAAGTGGTGACTGATGCTGAAGTTGGGATAGCTGGAATGTTACTCATCCGGAACATTCGCTAGAGAAGTGGAGGTGGGGTCCTTCTTTTCTACCGCAATGCACAATATTTGATGATCAAAAACTCACGTTACCGACTCACTCTATGGCCGCCTCCGAATAATACACAATGACGCATATTTTGTAGCTGTTGTTTAAAACCCCCAAATCTTCACTCTGGAAATGGATTCCCGCTTGATACTTGTTCTGAATAAGCAAACACTCGCTAGGTGCTGCCACTTTCTTATCTCCGGGGACTTCAATCTACATGACCTGCACGTATCGGCATCACCCAGTGAACAGTTCAGAACAGCCTCGCATGATCTTCTCGCTAATATTCCCTTGTACAATTACGTCACTATGCCTACTAGATTCAGAACAGCAAACAAACCGCCCATGTTGGACCTTGTGCTCATGAATGAAGCGCTTTTGGTTGACAAGTTATTGATGGATGGCCCATCAAGTCTCAGTGACCATGTAGTAACAACGTTCAACTATGTGAGTTATAGAGTATCCATCTGAACATCCGGAACTAACGCATACAATCCCACACTACCACGTCTTGAAAGAACTCGCCGAAACAACTGTCGCCTTGACAGCTTTTGGACAGTTTTCAATGTGAAAATAGTAGAGAATATCTGTAGCTCTGGATGTGGACGTAGGTTTTGCACTGCTCTCCGAGCTGAATATTTTGCAGACCTTTCGCTGCCGACAGTCCACAGGAGCAGCTGTGTGCTAACTCTTTTCAAACGAGCACAGACACATTACAGCACGCAGCAGCTGAGACCCGCTGAGGAAGACCAGCTCTTCAGCCTATTCAAACAGAATTCGTACCCGAAAGGCTTCATTCTGCGCGGTTTGACCCCACATAAAGCAACAAAACACACAACAACAAATGCAACGACTGAAAACCAAACCGTGTTACCTCACATCAACGGAATCCCGGAAATGGCAGAGAGACTTTTGTTGCCTTTAGGAGTCAAAGTTGCTCACCAACCAACAGAAACAAAACGAAATAAACTCTTCAAAGTGAAGGATAATCTTAGCAAGCGAAAAATATATGGTGTAGTCTACAAGATATGCTGCCGAGTTTGTGACGAATACTACGTAGGACAAACAGGAAGATAACCTGAAGATAACCTAACCATCCGCCGTCATCATAAGAACTCTTTGATGTCCGTGCATATGGATGCCGAAGGCCAACAGTACGACTTGGAGCACGTCAAAATCCTCGGAAGAATTACAAGCCGACAAGCAAAAGAGTTTCTTGGAGCCTGATATTCAAAGCAGAATTCGATCAAAAAGCACTTAGAGCTCGAAGTCGCTTACGAGGTTCTGCGAAACAGGACCTTAAAGCCGCACTGATGATGTTGCCTAGTCTGGCAGCGAAACGTCTGCAAACTAATCATTCAGCTCGTAGAACAGTGTAAAACCCACAATGCCTTCAATTCTAAGGAGCAGGACTCGAAAATGCCTGGCGATAAGGGATGCAGCATGGAATGCCTACAAGCTTGACCTCGACTCAGAGACTTGGGACAATTTGCTAACCCATCAGAACCATTGAATTGCACTTATCCGTAAGGACAAAGTAACTTTCAACTGTGCATAGCCACAGGTTTTTGGCAAAACAACAAAATCCTATTGAGTCATGTCAACAAACTTTGTAAAGTGAAGCATGACATCCCTCCACTTTTCATAACAGGAGGTAAAGTACAAAGCGCCGAAGAAACAGCTAATGCCCTGCGGCCACAACACGACCCAATTTTCGAGGTGGCAGCTTCTACCTGTCACATACCGACAACCATGTTACAGACTCTATCGTTTACACGTGTAGTTTTTAACCCAGCAATTGTGCTAAGGAAGTTATTGCTACTGCGCGATCATAGCTCCCCGGGAGCAGACAATATCCGCCCGAAATCACTGAAGGCTGCGACCACCAAGCTAACAGATCCACTGTCACAGTTCTTCCAAAGGTGCTTCGATGATCAGCTAGTCGTCACTATGTGGAAGCGTAGCATGATCATCCCAGTTTTTAAAGGCGGTAGATATTCAGACCCTTCAAACCCGGCCAGTAACTCTCCTCCCTGCGCTCGCGAAGGCAGTGGAAGAGGTCGTCGTTGACGCTCTAATGAACTACCGGGAAAATGAAACATCTTGGCATCAGAGCAGCATGGCTGCCGTCAACACTGGTCATCCCTCATCATACTGCTAATGACACAAGGTAGTTGGACGGACGTGGGTGATGATGGGGTCGGAATTGACGTCATCTATCTGGACTTCTCCAAAGCCTTCGATCGCCTAGATCGTCGCATCTTACTTCATCTGCTACAGAGCTACGGAATCGGGTATCCTGTTCTTGGTTGGACTGGCAACGTTCTTCACCAACGGAACCTTCAAGTGTGTGTTAGAGAATCACTCTACAACCTGATTCAGGTGGAATGTGGTGTTCCAAAGGGCTCAGTGCTGGGACCGCACTTATTCCTGGTGTTTATCTCAAAGTTATCTCAAATTTCATGCTTTTCGCCGATGATGTCAATATATGTTTGGCGACTGTTAACAAGAAAGATCACGAGCTACTCTAACATGACCTAGACTACATTTACGAATGGTCAAGGAGGAACCTGCTTCAGCTGAA